AGAAGGGAGTGTGCATGCAAATGTGCTGAGATTTCAGATTGTGCAGACCTGAACACAACTGAACACAACCAGTAACACAAGGCTTTTGGGTGATATTAAGTGTTAAACAAGCCATTAAAGAATTACAGAAATGTGAAGATGCTGATTTAATAACTTGTGCACGTGTGGGCGTAGAACGGAAAACGTGATCGCAGTTTTACAAAGAGCAACGGAAAGATCCAGCAAATTTTCAACAACACGGTTGTGTCAAATCTGAAACATAGATATTCTTGACAGAAGTGGAGAAACAGAAATTAGATTTTTTTTGTTTTAGATGTGAAATCACAGAAGTGAAACTGAGCCTATCACATGTGTAAGTGCAGAGCTAAGGCCTGTAACAGTCAGCACTTGGACTAAAAGACAAAAAAAGCATAATCCACTGTAACATCTGTTTGTATCACTGAGAAATAAGTTTGTAAACGGTAAATCACACCTAATAATACAGGTAAATGTGTGCATGAATGCAAAACATACATGCAATAGGCTACAAATATAAGCTCAAGCTCTATGAAACGGGATGTTGTGTTGTATCTAAAAAAAAGGTTATGCATGGTCAGTAGTAGGCCTGAGGTAGACACACTCACCCTCAGTGCACACTCTTTCTTTATGAAAAACAGCTTATGTATGGAGAAAAGCTGTAGGCATGCATTCTGTGCATGCACATCATTTATTCATGCAGCTCCCGATGATGTAAAACAAACATGAAGAAACAAACAGACCAAATAAAATGAATTTTAGTTGTCAGTTACTTGTAGCCATGTAGGTGCTATCAGGCGTTCCATGTCTTCGCTTCAGACCGAAATGCCATGAAACTTTTTCACGTCAAACTTTTGTGGATTCCAGGGGATCAATAGCATTTTGGATTGTTGGATTGTATATTGCACTACTGGGTTGATCTTCAGATTTGTAACAGGTTTTGCTGATGCATTAACATTTCTTCAGTTTTTATCTTATTTTGACTAATATTCAGGCCCAGGGATCAAAATACAACAGGAGCAATTCTGATATTTCCACCATGAAATATTAGCTTATTAACAGCATCACAGACTGCATATAAAAGTATAAAAAGGATCAACCAGTGTTTTGCAAAGTCCTGTTTGTGAAGACTTTTTTGTGGTATCCGCTTTAGTTTTTTGAAACCAGCTGTCACAAGGGTGTGGCTCACCTGACGAAAACTGAAAAACACAGAATTCCTAAATGCAGCCCATACAGATAATTTGAATGAAAAGTAAACTGTTAATTGGTTGTTATCAACACCTCATAAACAAAAGAAAACATGTATTTAATAGTGCGAGGGGATGGATGACAGAAACACTGGGGAGAAAACTTCTAAATAATATTAAAAGAAGAACAGAAATAAAACAAGGATCCAAACAACAACATGACAGTACTTTAAGACTTCCCTGTGGAAGCACCTGTTTTCCCACAGACACATGCATATTAATTAAACTAGTTGGGAGAAATACTCTAAAACTTCTGGGCTCTTTTTTATGTCTGCATATCCGACCTCTCACATCCTGCTTTTGGTCTCCAGCTGAGACCATAATTTACAAAATAAACATCATCTGGCATTCAGTAAGACCTAAAACTAGTGACTAAGACCATAAACATCTGTAAAGTGTTTAGTGAGGTCATGGATCAATAGAGTAGACTTTCAATTCGCCCCCTGCTGGCTTTTAAAAAGAACCAAGGTGTAGCTCCACTCACATATCTTTTATATACAGTCTATGGTCAGCATTAGGTGGGGGTTCACAAGACCACTGGATTGGCTTTTAGTGATGATGTCATTATCTGTAAGCATCAACTGCCTGTTATTTATCAATGATATAGTCATGACCTTCTGACCTTTTGCAGGCAGTGGTAGAAGTTAGACTTCTGGGCCTTTTCAGGTTTCTCTGGTCGATTTTAGGCAATAAAACTATGTAGCATGAGGTTTAGGATGAGGAGGTCATGGTTCAGGTTAAAGTACACATCTTGGAGAGCCTGTCTGGGTGAAAGGCTTAAACCATGTCTGCACAGACACGCAGCAAAAGAATGAGCAAAATACTGACAGCTTAAATATACCTCAGCGATTTAATGGGTGTGTAAGACTAGTGTTGCAGTGAGATGAGTGTCATATGGGTGTGCAGCAGCGTACTGCAGCTGGCTGCCTGAACAAGTTTGAGTTTTATTGTATACACTCAGAATTGTTTTGCTGCACGTTAGGAAGTCGGGCATCTTTCTGAAAAAGTGAAAAGCCAGCATCTATACCAAGGATGCCACTGCATGTTTTTATTTCCCTACATACCTGTTGAGTGCTTAGTACCTTGTTTAACTCAGTCACCCTCCCCAACCACAGCCCTCGAGGGGTTTTCAAACTTTTCCCGTTGCGTAACATCAGCACAAAAATAACCTGCCAAGCTGATGGGGTAGCTAATGAAATTTTCATCAGTGTTAATCTGATATAAAGTTGTTTTTGATCCTTTAGAAAAGTGTTGATTTGGTGCTAAAATATCAGCTATAAGTATTACTGTGAGGGCACATGGTCCGACTGCAGTATAAATAAATAATAATAATAATAATAATAATAATAATGATGTCCAAAGTGTGGCCATGCAGTGAGAAGGTGACTTCACAGGTGACTGAAATCATCATCTGTCACAGCCACTCACTGTCATCTCTGCGCATGTGAAACACTGTGCTGCTCAGTTTTGAATTTTATCTCATGCCTCTTTTACTGATTAGTGAATAAAAGAGGCATGTATATATATATATATATATATATATATATATATATACACACACACACACACACATATATATATATATATATATATATATTCTTACATATAAAAAAACTTAGATTTACAGGGTGGAGGCGTGATGTGATTTTCTGAAATTTCATGTGATGCGTCTAAATAATAGCACTTTTTTTTTCAACACTGCACATGAAATATTGTATTCTGCTTGGTTTCCTGCCCCACTGTCCCTCTTCTTCTCCTCTCCTCAGTGTTTCTCTCTCCTCCCTCCTGCTGAGCGCTCCACATGAAAAACAGACCAAGAGCAAATGAGGAGAGGCAGCGAGTCTTCATTTACAACTGCACATGTGTCCTGCTGTGTGTGCGTTGTTGAGAGAAAGAGGAAAAAGCAGCAGAGTCAGAGAGGAGGGCATGCAGACGTTTGGGAAAGGGAGAGAGAGGAGAGAGATTCGGCAGACCTGTCGGGGTCTCTCATGTCACATTTCTGCCCCGAGGAGCTGACCTATGTCTCGCTCTAAAAAGAAAACTAAAACGGAATAAAGGAAAGCTGCACTCTGGAAAACAGTCGGAGCAGTGTACCTTCTCCTCCTGCTGCTACGGCATTAAAGAAAGAAGAACTGAGGGCATGAAAGGAGAATGACTGACATTTTTAATTTGTATCTACATAAGAAAGAGAAGAGGAGACGGAGGCTTTTGGGCCTGTCTGACAACTGTGGGAGGGCAGAGGAGATTTATACTTATAATTGTACTGTTAGTCTTCTTTTGGTATTCTTTGAGAGAAAGGCAAAGAGAAGAGTGGAGATAATAGGAGAGGAGAAAAAAAGGGGAGGAGAGAGTCGAGCACAGAGTAGAGGAGTACCGAGAGGAGGAGAAAAGAGAAGACCAGAGGAAAGAGGAAAGGAGGAATGAGAGGACAGGAGAGCAGATGGGCTCTTCAGATTATTAACATGTAAGTACAAACATTTTATTTACATGTGCTGATAACTGCTCATGATGACACCACCGCTGGTTTTTATATCTGCTTATAATTATTAGGATTTTGTAGGAAGTCTCAAATCTGTCTTTCTCACTGCTCGATTACTTTTCCCTCCATATAATTACTCTTTGTGCCGCCAAGTAATTTTTTTCCTTTCTTTAATTTTCTGTGTCTTATTTCCGTTTTTGTTTTGTTTTTTCTAAATCTGCGTGCACACTCTCTCTCCGGTGCAGCAGCAGAGGGAAAGGCCAGTGTCACATTAGATTAGCATCAGCAGTCACACACACGGGGGAAGAAATATGCTTAAAGTGTGATGAGCATGATGTGGAGGATTGAGCCTGTGCAGGAAGAGCTTTTGTATGTTCTGTTAGTGTCGTGGTGGACTACACCACGGGTCGGAGGAACTATATAGTTTTCTCAACCACATGGAGGAAAACAAAGAGCTATTGTGCCACATAAGAATTTGGCCAGACATGCAAAAAAAGAAAAGAGAGAAGAGCATCAGTGTGTATGAAAACAAAGGCGCAACATGTTTTACACCTCGGGCTGGAGTCTCGGAGACTTCACTCGAAAAAAAATGAATATATAAGGAGCTTGGTATATGCCTTTATTGCTTTCATTGCAGTGACGGGACTAAAAAGATTTAAAATATAACCCTGTGGATAATATCTGGGAAAGGTATCACATGTATGGACTGCAGTGACACACAGAGATGTGATCACTGAAACTTTGCATCCCCATAGAGTAAATGACTGAGCCATGGGTAGCCATTGACTGCCACACCTATTCTTACAAACTGAAGCATCATCACCGAACAAAGCTGGGAATAACTGCCCATGAAAATACCTGAAGAAAAGCACACTATATTCTGCCGGCTTCACCTCTGTTATCCAATACTTTGGGCAAAAATGTTCAAATGTTTAGGAAAATAAAAAATGGTTCACATAAAGTACGACTAATAATAAAATATTAGTAAAATAATAGGACTTAATATGTTAGATAATCTAAACTGTAGCTACGGGAATTTCAAAGCATTTCAATAAAGACTTTTATGTGTAATTGATTTTGCATGTTTTGAAAAGAGAGCGATGGACTTTTGATTTCTTAATTTTCTGTATTTTAAAATTAGCATTAAAGCCACTTTCAGCTGCTCCCTTATTCATGCGGCGTCACCTCAGCGGGTAGTTCTGCGTGTTTAGATTTGGCAGTCTTACACCAGATGCCTTTCCCGACGCAACCTCAGAGGGAGTTCTGTGTCCTCCGGGGATCGAACCGGACCGAACATACAGTATAACAAACCACACAAACTTTAATCATATCATTGCAAAATTTCGCATGTTCTCTGAGCCATAATCCTAGATTATGCAGACCCAATTTAAAACAAATCCAGCCAATCTGACATATGAGATATAAACTTTTAGCATTTGTGAAAACCCCTCCAAGCAAATTCATGAGTTCAGTTAAAGTTTAAATATGTGTTGTAAATTTCTTGTCGGCAAAACACAGCGATTAGAGCTGCCCTTGTAGGTAATGCCTGAGCTCTGCTCCTGAATACAGTGGCAGCAGATGTGGGCATCAAATAGGTTAAAGTCGACCTATTTGAGGGGATAAAGCTGAAACCCAGTCAAAGCAGTGAAAGCATCATGAACATCCAGTAATCTAAAAGGAGATCAAGAACTCAGGCATGTACTGTTTAAAAAGCAGTGATGGCCAACCATTGCTCTTGTGTGCCAGATGCCCAGTCCTTGGCTAACTCCACTAACTCCTCTGTCTGGGAGGAGGGAGCTGTGTCCCAGGACATGAAAAATGCCAATATCATCACAATCTGGAAGAACAAGGAGGACAGAGGGAACTGCAAAAACTGTCATAGCATATTCATACTCTGTATGGTGAGTAAATCTTTGCTCACCTGGTGCTGAAGAAGCTCCACATGTCTCATATTTAGGGTCAGTGTGCATTCAAATCTGAACAAGCTTGGACACGGTTGGCAATCATAGGAGAAGTAGCAAAAAACAGGGACTCTACTACATTACCGTCATCGGCTTCACAGAGCATTCAACATAGAGAGCAGATACGATCTTTTCATGATCCTTGAGAAAAGCCAGCGAAGATCTCCAGCTCTGTGAACTCCTTCAGTGACAACATGAAGAAGATCTGTGACTGCGACATGCACATCAGAGTATGCAAGACTGTACAAACCACACCTTTATTTTGAAATTTCAGCTATTTTGAATGTTCTTTTCTGGTCATTTGGCCACTCTACTGCAGTCACCTACCTCCACAGTGAAGCCCACAAGAAGCTGTTTGACCTACAAAGGTTAAAAGGTCAAAAATTGCCTTTTTGCTGATGACACTGCTGTTTCCACGCATGATTGCCAAAAACTGCCTCCAATAACTGATGGACTGGTGTTCTACCTCTTGCACTGCATGCTGTGGGTTAGTAGGGTCACGTAGGCACTTTATTCTAACGATCAGCATCAAAAAGATAAATATCCAGGGCTGAAATGTTGATTGTCTCTAACATATCAGCATACAATTCAATAAGTATGAAAAAAGACCTTGCAAGGTAAACAAAAAGTGTGGTGAGCACATGAACCTCACATGAACACTTCCACATCAGCAGAAGGAATTTCATGCCTTGTACGTGCACTGCGTTCATTGAATATTCTGCATTTCTTGGAAAGAAAAAGTTCCCACCAGAGATGTTTTGCCCTGAGCAACACTCCTCCAGAAACTAGGCTTTCTCTGATCATGTGCCCCATACAGAAGATGGCTGAATCCCCAAATACATCCTCTGTGAACCTTGAAGAAACACTCACCAGGGCGGCCACACCATCACCACAAAGACATATTAGCTACAAAAATGATCAGAAAGCCGTCAATATTGACATGGTCACTTGAAATGCTTGAAATGTAGTTGGGTCAGGAGAGCTTTAAAGAAAAACATCTGCTTTAGTGGGATGAAAAGACGAAAGATGGCACGCACAAGTGCAAAAAGCCTGACTGAAAGACCGGCCACTGCCTAAATCTGTGAACAGTGCCCAAAGGACTGCCATGCCCTTGTACGACTTCACATTCACATGCACACGAGAGCACTGATCCAATGGTTCTGCAGGACTTCGGGTTCCCTACGGGCTTCATATTTATTGGACAAACAATCAGAAAGAAAGTGCTTTTAAGGAAGAAAGCAAAGAGAGCATCGCAAATCTTAGTTTTGCAGTGCGATCGATTGATTGTGAAGTACAGAGTGAGAAAAAGCCTTTCGCATGTAGTTGAGTCATCAGTGTAAACAGCTCATTATTTCTAGACTGCTGAACAGAGTGTGACTGACTGTAATGAGCTGGCAACAGGCCAACCGTCTCATACTAATGTCATTACATAACTGTGGCGATCAGCTGGCTGATAGGAATTTATTGCATGACTTTTCATTCACCACTCAACTCTAATACTGATGAGCATCTGCTTTTTGTCCCACGACTTGTTTGTGAAGGTAGATAGGTGTTAAATTTTTTAAAAGGTGTGATTAATACCCATAACTATAAATTATTAATGATGGTATAATGCTTTTTTTTGGTAACATACAGGAAGCTATACTGTCATATTTAAAGACAGACAGAAAGAGTAAGCAGGGGAGTGGGCGAGAGAAGGGCAGTCACGTCCTGCAGCATTTACACACAACATCACAAAATGACCCTGACAGTCAGTGAATTTAGAAGGGCTTGGAGGTTGTGTTATGTTTGCTCGTGTTATGTTGCACTTTAATGAAATGCGATTTGCTTTTTTGTTGTTTTATTCTTTGCTTCTGTACGTCCCGTGATGACAAGTTGCTTTTCGACTTAGTTTGTTTTCTAACATAATTAAAAGCCCGAGGTGTGTGTTTTTATGCCTAACAGTAAGTAAGGAGGGGACAAAAATGACTCTCGCTTGGCCCATATTTCCAGAAACGTGACAGATAAAATGCAGATTTGTTCTCTAGTGTCCTCTTAGTTTCTCCCGACAGGTCAAGAGCACTGCGCTTCAGCGTTTTTACAGCTGAAAACATCCAGAGAAATTAGGGCAGTTTGATCTTCTCTCAGAGCTTCATCCATTTTTCATCTGTTCAAGTTTAAATTTCAATGCCGTGTCTTTCTTTACAGCTGTGCAGCTCAAGAGCACAACATTCTGTATTTGGCATCTTTGTATTTCTACACAGTTTAGATTTACATGTTTAAAAGTGTCATTGTTCATTTTATAAACGCTGCCTTTTCATAGGCTGATATCTTTACTGTTGTTTGGCATTAAGAAAAGAGTCTTCGTGAAGTAATCTGATGGAGAACACACAACGTGTATTAAATCTGTGGGAAAATCACATTTATGAAATTAAATAAAGTTCTACAGTGAGGCTAAGTGAGGTCTATTGCTCATATTTACAGCGAGATTTTATTTGAAGAAGATGCTAGAAAAGAAAAGTCTTTCTGAGGTGCTTTGCACATTTTCTGTGTAAGCATTAAGCATTGTTCAGATTTAATATGTCATTTCTGGAAATTTTGCTTAATTATTATCGTCATCATTTTTTGCAGCTACAGAGAATAAGAGTATCTTAGGACACAAGTTTTCATTTATCTCTAACAAGACTGTAAATGTCTGCAGGGCTGTGGGTGTTAATGTATAAATTCAGTCTTCTTACACTCTAGGATTACGTTTAGGAAGAGGGAGCTTTTATTAGATGGCCTAGCTGATGGGGACAGGTTTATTCTTGGTGCTGTACAAGTAAAGTCATTCAAAGTCCATCATACACATTATAAGAATCATGTGAACCATTAAAACTGCAGTCTGCAGAAATATAGAAAAGAAAAAAGAAAAACACTGCTGGAATAGACAGCCCACTCGTGCAGTCATACTTCTACGCTTTAAGCAATGCACGTCCTCCATATGTGTCCTCCATATGTGCTAGGAACACCGCAGAGCTGATTTTTGGCTTCACGCAAGATATAAACCATGCTCTGAAGGTCTTCTGTTTAACCCACTGCACCTTATTTCCAACACTAAAACATAAATGATCTGTTCTGATATGAAAAGACCTGTGAGTCCTTTGTAACAGGCGAGACTGTGCAAAGTATTTTAGAAACGTCCAGACCATTTCAGACTTGAATTACAATATTCTGAAAGGTTATTCAGTTTTTTTTTTTTGTCCAAATAACACCAAAAGCCACTCAACCTTTGAGTTCAGTAACACTGATAACACAGGGGCTATGAAATTTAAATACAGAACTAAACTAGTTCAAACACAATGATTTGTAATTTAAGCTGGTTATTTTTAAAGAGTTATTGTTGTATTTCTTCTTACTATTAATTACTATTAATATTGCTTTATTAATAATTTCTCTGCCTGAGATTTAGCTACTCATTTCAATGTTTAATAATCATCACTTACTGTATATGACACCAACCATCATGTCATACTCTTTATGCTTGAGCTTAAAGAAATGCCCCGGATAGCAGTCTAAGTTTGGATCTTTATGTCCAGACCAAAGGCCGTATATAATACACTCTATTCTGTGGCCTAGATAAAAATAAAAATAAAAAACCCCTTACACATCTTCTTGTTAGTGTGGGTAATTTATGACATTGTCTGAAGCCCGGACTTGATGGACTGTCTCTCTGAAACAAGCACATTTCCAGGTCAGCGCCAAATGTGCGCATGTTAAAAACCACTTTCATGTTTTCAGCTCACTGACAAGAGACGGTAATAAACCGTAGAGTAAATGCAGACATTTTAAAGGAACAATTCACCACCACTACATTTATTTTTGCTCTGGCCTGTAATTCTATACATCCGGTTGAACTGTTCTTCAAAGCAAACAAAAAATACATGTAGGGAAAAAAACTTCCCAGAAATCGGTTACTCAAAAACAAACGTTGTTGTAAGCCCTTTCATGTAGAAATAATTTTCTCTGTAAAAAGAAGCGCATCTGTCTGTGCGAAGAGACTCATGCTCATGACAGCATGACAGGAACTAAACATTAACAATGTCCCCTTCGGCTGAGCTGCAATATTAGGTAGCAGCAAACATTTTAGCTGGAGGATGTAGTTCAGGCTGATACACTAAAACAATCTAAAAGCAGGAATAGCACTGTCTGCAAGCCAAAAAACATGAGCTTGATTCTAGGCTGTACTTCTTTTAGGCTTTAAAAGGCACAGCATTAAAGCTGAAAGTTAACACGATTTAAGTTACAATTCAGTGTGCTCAAAGCCAAACATCCATCTATGCAGAGCTGCAGCCAAGCTGTTTAAGTCCCGAGACATTACTGCAACCTTCTTATGCTTTTATTTTCTTTCCACACATCTGCATTGCAACTTTAGCACATGTGAAATGAACACTTTTCAGCATTAAAGTTGCTTTGTCAGTTATCAGCTGGTGCACGACAGCATGTGTGTTTGAGTCAAAGCCTTGAACTCCTGAGCTTTCAGCAACACTCGCAGCTGTTTGTTGCCACCTAGTGGTCGAAAAAGTAAGAAATTATTCCGAATCAAATCCTTGATGTTCAGTCTTCACGTTTAAAACAATGTCCACATCTATGAACTGTTTTGTGTAAAAATACTTGGTTTTGAAAATCTCCACGCTGGCTTTCCTTTACTTCCAAACACCCTCTCTCAAGTGAATGAGCACTGCACTAAATCGTGTGTGTTCATGTCTGTGTGCTGCACAGATATTGCAAAACTGACTTAAGTGCACAAAAGAATGTGTGAATGCATGCATGTTTTTTGTGCCAAAAACAAAATATTATCTGAGGTATGGATGCCTAATTATTGTTTTTTCTTTTAAACGCTGCAGGAAAACATCTCAGGCATGTTGATAATGATGGTGAAAACTGGGAGGGAGGTACAGATTGATGGGTAAGGCATCAGTGTTTTCAAAGTCCTCTGTGATTAACTTTAATTTGTTAAATGACAGTTTAACCACTATGACTTGTCTCCATAAAGCCACAGTTGTGATTGTTGATAAACTGAAAAGGGTTACCAGGGGTACCTTTATTTTCCACCCTTCCCCTGTACTCACTTTAATGTGGACAACTGGCTCACATGAACGTGTGAAACGTGGTAGATTTGCTGCTGTGCTTCGTACCATTGTTCTATTTCATGATCCATTTGTGGCCAGGATTTAGGGCTAATTATCACTCCTCCACCACCGTGCTTGACACATGCGTTGTTTGCCCTGACATGCATGTTTGGTTTTCACCAAGCATGCTATTGTACATCATCTCCAACTTTGGTCTCTTCTGTCCAAACAACATTGTTTGTTTTGAGGTTTGTTCAGGTGAGGCAAACCTAAGCCCTGCTGCCTTGTTCTTTTTAGAAAGAGTCTTTTTTCCCTCATAATCTCTTCTAAAAGCCGCACTTGTTTAGTCATTTTCTAACTGTATTGTCACAAAATGTAATATCATGTTAACGGAGGCCAGCAAAGTATGAGCTGTAACTCTTTTTTTGCAGTTTCACTGAGCATTGCATGGCCTTCGATGAATTTGCTGGGACCTCCACACTTGGGAAGATCGTTGCATTGTGTTAGCACTCATTTAAATGCTCTCAACCAACAAACTGGCAAAACTATACAGGTGCTCACATTTTCTGACAATTAATCATGTGCATTTGATTAGCAACACCTATTTGCTACTTTCCCTCTTAATTCCTGTAGTGAGGGTATACTTGTTTTTTCTTCTTCTGAGGATTGCATGCAGTCCTGAGAAAACAAACTTTTTCACATGAATGTAGTTTAGCTTTAGTACATGACTTATTGAAGTTACTTACGCTATTCATTTTCTAATTTGTTTCTCATTTTTATGTTTTGGGGTATTTACAGGTTTAAGAATTCAGGGAAAATTCTCCTTATCATGAGGTGCTGAACTGACTTCTGCAGGAAAAATAATAACCACAACATGAGCGCTCCAACAACAGGAAGCCCAAATATGGAGGTGAAGGTGGTGTCCCAGGAGATGGCATTGCTTAGCAACATACTGGCTGCTTACACCTTCATTGCAGGTAAAGTAGGTCCAATTGAAAAAAAAGAACCTTTTATGTGGGATTGATGTGATGAGCAAATATTATGTGCTAATTTCGTTAACTTAGCACATAAACCTACTAGGGGTATGAAACAAAGAGCAAAAACAGGTCTGTTAAAAGTTTGGCATCTGCCTTCAGAACATGTGAAAACTGCAGAAAAAAAGGAATCATTTATCACACTTTGACTGTATTTTCCCACATAGGATGGATTGTGTATCAAATCATGAAAAACGGATTAGTTCATGAGAGTGTTTGTCTGCATTGTTAGTTTAATCTGAGCCACATGTTTCACAGCTTTCTAACTGACAAAAATATTACTGGCTGCTCTGTTACATCGTAACATGGGGCAATCGTGGCTCAAGAGTTGGGAGTTCGCCTTGTAATCGTGAAGGTTGCCGGTTCGAGTCCCAGCTTGGACAGTCTCGGTCGTTGTGTCCTTGGGCAAGACACTTCACCCGTTGCCTACTGGTGGTGGTCAGAGGGCCCGGTGGCGCCAGTGTCCGGCAGCCTCGCCTCTGTCAGTGCACCCCAGGGTGGCTGTGGCTACAGTGTAGCTTGCCATCACCAGTGTGTGAATGTGTGTGTGAATGGGTGGATGACAGGTTGTGTAAAGCGCTTTGGGGTCCTTAGGGACTAGTAAAGCGCTATACAAATACAGGCCATTTACCATTTACCATTTTACATTACACTGAACCAAGATGGATCTGTAAAAAAGCTGTGCTGAAGCTTTTCTTTGATTTACGGCAGTAATATTTCTTTGTAATAACAGTAGACTGACTCAGTTTGAAAAAAGCAAGACCTATTATTGATTTGTTTTTCTTTTTTCTTTTTTCATGGGAACATACATGCATTTTTACACTATATAAAAGAAGGAAAAGGTTTCACTGGTCTGTTCTTCTAGAGACCAAACTAGGGGCTTTAGGGCCCATGCACTAAAATTAATTTGATCTAGAAAACACAAAGCAGATACAAACATGTCAAACATGCTTCTGGCATTGAAAGCTGAAAAGGGATCAGCGACGTTGGCCCACTGGCTCAAAGACAGATGTGTGGAGGTCAGAAGGTGGAAACAGTGTAAAGACAACAGACAGGTGAGGGATGTCTGAAAACGTAGTACATAAAGACTAAAGACTGTGCAGGGAGGGACTGAGAGAAGGATGAAACAGCAGTTAATTTATTTGTTAATTTATCCTGCCTCTCTTACAGACCAGCCCGAGAGGACAGCACTTGTGTTTCTTGGCGGCGTCTGCGTTGGCCTTCTTGTCACACTGTGCGCCATCGTCTTCCAAATACACTGTCGAGCAGACTGCCACTATGGCAACACTAACAATCTTCCCCATCGCCCAAGGAACAGACTCCAACATCGTCGGCATCATAGCTGTCGCCACCATCAGCCCGCAGACAGCAACCCAGACAATACTGCCGTCGTCCCCTCTGGAGAGACTGGGCCCACTGGGGAAAGTGAGTCTGAGGACTGGGATGACACAACTGATCCATCAGCCCGGAGACGCAGACGCTTTGAGAGATCCCTAATGCACGCCACCATGTTCACATCAGCTGAGGGTATCTGTGGCAGACACGTACACCACTGACACACACCAATGTCACCATCCACACACTAAGACATCATTCACACATCCAGCGAGCTGTTTCCTTTAAAATAAGGTCTCCTAATTTGATAACCCACACATCATATGACATCATAGTATTGCTGTGATTCAGATGATCCGATCCTTTAGATATGAATCGTAGTCCAGTGAAATGTTTTAATAAAAAGCAGTTTTGAAAGTACATTTGCTCAAATAGCAGACTTAACATAAAGTTATTGTGTTGTGCTTCTTTTAACACATGCTCCTCTGTATTTATGATTCATTATGCATCATTTTACTGCAACACAAACATCAGACAGGCATGCACTCCTAAATGTTTCTCAGCTAGCTGCATGGCAATTTGATTTATTTATTCATTTTATTGGTGAAAACAAGCTTATATAGGACGTAGACACATAAAGGCAGACTCAGTGTTTATAATTTATTGGTGGATTAGAAGCCCAATAACATAGTCCACAAACTAGCTAACAGAAATCCAGACATAGCAGGAGTTACACCTGGAAACACACAGGGAGGGTAAAGTGGAGCAAAGGATAAAGAAAAAATGTGACTATTCATACACATACACACTGAGAGCTAATCAGGGATTAGACGCAGCTGAGAGGAAACAAGACAGTAAAACTCAAGAAAACAAGACTAAAAAATAAACAGAAAATCAAGATACAGAAGACAACTAAGTACCAACGTAAGACAGGAAATAACTAAATAAACAGAGAAACAGAGACACAAGAATAAATTTGACCTGGGGAAAGATTCAGAAGAACAGACAAAAGGAAACAAAGACGAGAGAAATAAAATAAATAAAACTAGAACTGAAGGCTCAAAATACTCAAAACATGTCAATCATAAGGTACACCAGCTCTAACGCATACCCTGTCTTATCATCTATTTTACTCTAATAAACCATCATTTATAAAATGAATGTCACACTGTAATCAGCAGGACTTCAAATTACCAACTCATCTGGAAAGTGTTTACCAAAGTCTGCAAAAGACTCATTTTCTCATAGACTTCAATACCAGCAGCCTTCTTTTTGCAACCAAAGGTCACCCCTGCTGGATTAGAATGCAAGTTTAAAGCACATCTGGTTTCCCCTTTCAGACCTGGAAGCCATCTTTTATATACTGTTTGTTCACCCATGTTGCACAGAGTCCACAGCAATGAATTAATTAGAATAAGACTGCTGAAATCTCACACTGTGTTGGTGTGACGCTCTGGTTATGTCTCTATGAGCAAGGCAGTCAGA